CCAAAGATGATTTAGAGTCGCTCAAGATGTTTGCCTTTGTTACTTTAAGCCTCTCTATCACTTCTGTCGCTTTCAGAATAGCCTGCATCTTCGCCTGGTAAACGGAGCAGAAGGCTTCCAGTCTAAAGGTCCTGTAGGTGGTTTCCAGCGCGGCGAGGAGCGGGTCGAGTATCAAGTTCCACAGGGTGGGCCCGGCTACAGAGCCCTGTACGCAGCTGCGGGTGGTCTTCTTCTGCCAGCACTCGCGAGTCCATCTCACGATCACTTCCCTGTCCCTCAGGTAACTGTCCATCACCCTGTAGAGATTGGGCGGGCACCCCCTACCAAGCAGCTGTGCCCTCACGGCCGGCCACCATGCTTTGTCGAAGGCTCCCTCTATGTCGAGCGAAACGAGGACGCATATTTTCTTCGCTCCCAGCTCAGCCCGTAGGTGGTTCACCAGATCATAGAGGGAGTCCTCAGTACACCGCTGTGGCATAAAGCCGTATTGACGTGGACTGAGCGTTCTGTTATGAGCCACAGGATATTTAGCTTTTTAAAAAAAATATTTTATATGATTTTGGACGACAGTCTTGGATGAGGAGATGAAGGAGACTGACTCACTGACGTGAGTCCGATATAGGTGTATTATGCAGAGTGTTGAGGTAGCGGGACAGAGTGCATAGTTAGCAAGAAGGAGTGCAACGGGAAGCTATAACACCTCCCGGGGGTAGACTAAACATCGGGGTTAATTCTGCGATGTTTGGGAAAGAAAGTTATACATTTGTCCTGATAGTGGGAGCCGGAGTGTTTTCCGGTTGAGGGTTGTGCGTCCGGATTTTCAGTGGAGTAACGGGTTCAGTGGTTCCAGTTTGATCCGTGGTAGGAGGGTTTGAGGTTGGACGGTGGAATGTGGGAAAACGATGGATAAGACGGTTGTGCGATTTAATTATAGAAATACACTTAAAATAATACAGAATAGAAAAACAATAATAGAAATTAAACTAATTACGATAGAGTAAGGAGTCTTGTATTTTATGATAGGATGGTCTGCCAGGATTTCGTCAGCTTTGACTGACATTAAATTTAATTTGGACCGGGCTTCTGCGGTAAAGAAGTCTAAATCAACGTTTTGCAGTTTTAACGGAGGCTCGTTACTTATTACATTTGTAAACTTATCTAAATTACAGCAAGAGTCATTAATTATATTAAAATCTGAGTGGCTTACAGAAACATTTATCTTCACTGGGGTAGACTTAGGTATTAGTTTTGTGCCTTTACAGAAGGCTATACAATTTTCTAGGATTCTCAGGATACCCATACCAATTATGTTTAGGTCTATTATTTTCTGATCACGACAGTCGACGTAGAGTTTATTGGTTTTGGATTGTACAAAAATCCAAGCGTTATTTTTAAGTGATTTCCATAGGTCTAATTGTCGTCCATGGATAAAGTCTGTTTTACACTGCACTGGTAAAGTATTTACTATATTTGACAATAGTTCACTTTCGCAACTTGGGTTTTCACTAGTCGGGAACACTGTTGTAATATCACAAATGTATTCATGCGAGTTGATTACGATGCATTCCTTCGGTGAGTCTAAATTACAGTATTCTGTTTTGTCCATGGTCATTGCTATATATTTGTTTGAAGGTATAATATAACTGAACGAGTCAGGTTTAATACTGTTGTGTGGAGTAGGTAGTGCTATAACGTGATACAAATTGTATTCCGTAGGGGATACGAGGGGTAATCTTAATATAAAATTAACTTTATTTATTTATTTATTTATTTATTTATTTATTTAAATAAGCACTGCCACATCACAAACATCTAACATTGAAAATAAATTTAAACTATTTAATTTATGGCCTGATGCATGTGACAACAATGGTGTACATAGCATTGGCAATTCATCGGCTCGAAAATGGAATACAATAATAATAATAATAATTAAAAAAAAAACAGTACTATTTGTTGAAATATTAATAAAAATGTCTAAAAATGTCATGTCATATCGAAAAGAAGAAAAGAAGAAATGTTAATATAATGTCAAGTAACAACAAGTCAGTTATAGAACAAGAAATGATCAACGATTAAAGTTCCCTTTTAAGGTCCCTTTTCCTCTCTTTTCCTATTCTGTCCTTAAATACACGCAACTTGTCGTGGAACACATCAAGATCGGGCATCACTGTGATAAGGGAATGATACTCATCAATTATTCTACGGAGAGGTGCCTGCCGTCCCAAATTAGATTTTACAGGTGGGGTGTAGAAAATATATTTGAGTTTCCCGCGAGGATAGGTACGGGGAACCCTTAAAGGCATGTTCTCTAGAAAGTAGCTGCACTGATATTGACCGCTTACGACTTTGTGGAAGAAGGACATGTCCAATAAAAGTCTCCGTTCACGAAGAGAACACATTCGAAACCTAATTAGGCGCTCTTTGTAAGGATTTCTGTGCGAAAAACCGCTAGAATTATAAGCTAAATGCCTAGTGAACGCTCTTTGAATGCTCTCAACGCGTTGCGAATGCACGGCATAATACGGATTCCATACAACGCTGGCGAACTCAAGATGACTGCGCACCAAGGTTTGGTAAAGCAAGATTTTGGTGCGCTGACGCCTAAATCCGCCCGAGTTACGTTTCAAAAATCCGAGCATTTGAGCTGCTTTTGTGACAGACTTGTTAATGTGCGAGGTGAATTTAAGTTGACTGTCAACTATCACGCCAAGATCTCGGATTTCGTTAACTTCTGCCAGTGCTGTACCATCAAGCTTATATTCCGTAGCAAGTTGCTTTCTTTTTCTAGTAAATTTAATGTGAAAGCATTTATTTGCGTTGAGTGTCATACTGTTACAGCGACACCATTGTAGGATCGCATCTAGGTCACTTTGCAATTGGCGACAGTCGACAACAGAAACTATGGTTTTGTATATCTTGAGGTCATCGGCAAATAGTGACACCTTACAGTGACTTACTTTATCGACTATGTCGTTAATAAAGATTATGAAAAGAAGGGGTCCCAAATGTGATCCCTGGGGCACACCGGTATCTGCAAAATAAGTTTTTGAGTTAAATCCATTTACAGACACCGACTGAGGTCTCTGTTGCAAGTAAGACTCGAACCATTTCAAAAGTGGGCCATCCACACCGAACCCATATAATTTCCTCAAAAGAATTGAATGGTTAACTCGATCAAAAGCACTGCTAAAGTCGGTGTAGATGGCGTCAACCTGCCTGCCTGAGTCAACTTCATTAGACACATTGGAAATATAAGGGACCAAGTTAGTGACGATTGAGCGACCACGTCTAAAACCGTGCTGTGAATCCGAGATGCTACTGTCCACAAGCCGAAAGATTACAGGATAGACAATCGATTCAAATAGTTTAGAGAAGCAAGACAGGATGGAAATAGGGCGATAGTTTTTAACGTCAGAATTTTCTCCTTTCTTAAAGACTGGTACAATGCGCGCTTTTTTCCACTCGGACGGAAATGTCCCATCCGCTAATGATCGGTTAAATATTAAGGACAGAGGCAGAGCTACAGCAGAGCCGCATCTTTTCACAAATACCGGCGGAATCCCATCCGGGCCAGCACCCTTCGCAGAGTCGATCTTTTTGATCGCTTTAAGCACCTCAATTTCTTCGATAGCCAATGAACACAACATCCGTTGTGGGGACCCGCAGCACTGAGATTCAAGCGTAAAGTTATCCGGAGGCGTTGAGCTGGGCAAGTAAATTGAGGCAAAATGTTCTGCAAAAAGATTCACAATGTCAGGGCCTGTTTTTACTACCTGATCTTTCAAGTTCATAGATGCAGGTATGGATGAGTCACTACCTCTTTTATGTTTAATAAAGCTCCAGAAAAGCTTAGGGTTTTTAGGGATATTAGCTTCGATGTTATTCCTATAATCTGAATAGCATTTATCGTACATTGCGTGGCATCTAGAGCGGAGCAGACGGTATTCAATTTCGTCTCTAGGGTTTCTGTATTTTTTGAACCTTTTCCGAATTTTTTCCTTTTCTTGTAATAGTTTGATGAAGGAGGTGCTGAACCATTTAGGGAACTTAGATTTATTAAGGGTTTGTTTCGGCACATATTCTTCTAAGAGATCGTCCACTATTTTGTAAAATTTTATCAGCATTAAATCAATATTTTCACAGCCCGATAACTTTGTTTGCCAATCAACACCTTTCAGATTTTTAACTATGGATGGATAATCTGCTCTATAGAAGTTATATCTAGGCTTGCATTTGGGCTTAAGATAGACAAGTTTATTGTAGGGCAAATTCAACAGTAGATTAGGATGCTGCTTATAACATTTGCTCAGCTCGCTCGAAGGGCTCACAACATATGCATCTCGGCAGCTGGTTATAACCAAATCTAAAAACCTGTTGTCACTATTTGCAATTGCATTGACTTGAAAGAGATTGTTAATGAAAACAAAGTCAGTAATAGAATGTCCCAGAGGAGAGTTATGGTTTGAGGGTACCATATAATTACTATCCTTATGAGGGTCCCAACTAATAAAACCCAAGTTAAAATCACCTAAAATAACAAGATCATCGGCCCGATCGGCAATATTATCTGCGCTATCTAAAAAATACTTGAGAGTTTCGGTTTTAACTGGTGGAGGAAGATATACAACGCATATAGCAAGCTTCCTAGTACTTGAGCCAATGTTAATATGCAAAGTGACCCACAAGTCCTCCACATTTGTTTCCCAACTCTTGACACGAGCAGACGGTATGTCCCTAGAAACAGCTAAGAGCACCCCACCGCCGTCTTTTTTAGAATTACCACTGCTTGATCGGTCCCGGCGATAAACAATGTATCTATCATCGATCAGTTCGTGATTAGAAATATTTGAGTTGAGCCAGGTTTCAGTAAATGCAATAATCTTATAATTCAACGTCAGAATATTTTTTGAAACCTCGTTAGTCTTAGTTCTAAGGCCCTGCACATTCTGGTAGTATATGTCAAGCATTGCGATCATCAAATACACCAATTCATTATTAGCAAAATACATTAACAACTTATACTAAAAGCTTAAGACTATCCACATTTTTAATTGCTATAGCTTGATGTTCCACTGTTTTCCGAGCAAAAATTCGCCCATTGCGAACCCATACAAATTTATAAGACATTTCCCGGGCTTTTATACGAGTTGCAGCGTGGAGCGATTTAAGTGCCGGAGTCAAATGTTCCGAAACGTAGACAGGGCTTACAGTTCCTCCAATTCCAAGATGCTGTGTACAAAGCTTCTTCTCGGGATCCTTATGATTAAATTTACTGACCGCGGCCAAAATGCTATCACGGGAACGAGGACTGCGTAGCTTAACAATCACTGGCCGAGGACGTGGATTGTCATTACTAATTTTAGCAACTCTGATAGCACGTTGGATATCTTCGTTAGTGAGCGGATTTTCAATAACTTTGGATAATTGAATGACGGTAGTGACCAAATTCTCAGATCGACTTTCCGGGATACCATTTATTTCAATATTTGATTCTCTCATATGTAGTTCAACAACGTTCAGCCTAGCAGTGAGATCTCTAATGGTTGTTTTAAGCCTCTCGTTATCACATTTTAGTTCAGTGATAGTTGAAGTTTCACTTTCGAATTTAGATTTCATCTCTTCATACTTTGTGCTCATAAATTCAAGAGAGTCTCGGAAACCATCTATCTTGTCGAGCACATTTTTAAACTCGGTCACTACAATTTTTTTAATGGTGGTGTTCAAGGCGGTAGATATTTCCTGTTGTAGAATCCCACGTAGCCTATTTTCAGTAACATAATTAGGTTCCAGGAGTTGTGACGATCGCGGCTGCGGCTCAAGAGATGGTTGCGGTTGCAATTTCGGCGGCGACTTCTGAGATGATTGCGTTGCTGCTTTCTGTGATGGCTTTGGCGGTAATTTCTGCTGCTGTTTCTGCAGTGGCCTCTGCGATGGTTTCGGTGATGATTTCGTGGGCCTTTTGCGGACAGTGACATTGGATTGTCCCTGTACATCCTCTTCTTGACTTTTTGTGTCCGAGTATGGAGTCGAACGCACAGGAGTGTTAATGTTGCCAGTTTTTGGCTCCTTGCTGCAGCATTCAGGACACTTCCATGACGCTTTATGTTTAGCGTCCATTAGCTCATAATCAAAGGAGGCAACATTTGCACAAACAAGGTCATATTTAGCCTTACATCTGCAGCATCCAAGACAAGGGTCGTCGCCGAGAACATTACGACATCCAGAACATTCATCAATCGATGCCATTGCGGTTAGGTTGTTTGAAAATAACAATATATAAAAAAAGAAAAAAGAAAAGAAGAACCCAAAAAGTCAATGTCAATAGTGAGATTCGAACCGGCGCCACACCGCGCACAATTGTACGACCCGGCCGTTTCTAAATATGGGCTATTAGTATATTACAATCTACGGTGAAAAACAGTTCTATTAGTGGCAAGTTTATACGCAGAAATAATGCAGTGACAAGGTAGATTTAAAAATTTAGTAATTTGCAATATCACTTTGTTTGAGTCTCACTCTTCCACTGATTCCAATCAATCACCACTATTATCTTGCACACAAATGTTAAAGTCAGCCACAATTCATCAATTTATTTAACAATAGACACAGTTTCAAAGCTTGATATTACACCGTTTACACAAACATCCAAGTCTAGAATAAGTGAATTGAAAATTTTAAAGTGTTCTATGATTGTTCTAAGTGTTCCGTTAAATATTTATCATATAGAATGTCCACAATTCTTCTTTTCTTCAAATTCGACTTGCGGAAAGTATTCGGCGATAAGCAAATTTCGTCTTCATCAAGTATTGTAGGTATATAAATTAAGAATAAGCAGTGAATTAATTTAGTGCGTAGCCGTTTTTCTCGATGTGAGTATTTATTTCCACGTATCTCAAGCACATACCGTACTGGATGGAATAATTTTAAACGGTTATTTATAAATGTTGTTAACTTATTGTAATGGTTATACGTGCGCGCGCTAAGAGACGTCCGTACAGGTCAATTCACAATTCACAGACTTTATTACTAGAACTATAACATATTAAACTAGATGAATTCATTAAACTATACATATTGCTTAAAGTTAAGTGTGTAGGTAGCCTAAGGTTGGCAGGTATATGTCTAAAGTTATTGACAATTTCTTGGTATAGTTGTTCGGGCGACAATACGGCTGGATGTAGGATGTTTTGACTGCAAAACATTATCGCGTTGGCTAGGTCTTCTAATCGGAATGATAAAGCTAATAGGGATGCCTCTAAACTATTTCCTATCGAATTGATATCTGATTTTATTGAAAGTTCGTGTGAGATAGCTGAGATGTTTTTTAGTTGTGCGGAGAAATTGTCAATAGCTTGGTTAAGGTTAGCTTCATTAATTTTTATTTTGTAAATTGTTTCATTGAATTTTGACAGAGTGGTCGAAGTGATTAAAATATTTTCTTTCATTAATGTAGCTAGCCTTTTTTCATTATTTTGCATATTTTGTATAGCCTCATTATATCTAATACCATCATTTTCGTCCAGAGTGCCGAAAATAGTTTTGGAGAGAGAGCCAATGCCACTTATCCACGCCCCTCGCTTAAATCGCTTTTCTGTTAAGTGAGCTGTGGCTGAATACTCTGAGACGATATCGTTGTATCTTACTGTTAGTGGTTCTAGTAAATTGTAACATTCTAGATTACTTTGCATTTTAATTTGCATTTGATTACATATAAATCTAAGGGTGCCCATGACTGAATTTAAATTCTGGATATGCGGCTTAATATAAGAGATATCTATAAATGTAACTATATCTAAGTGGCTTGTACGAATTCTGAGTTCGCCGATTGGATCAAAATATATACCGGAACTCTTGTTAATTTGTTCAACAAATTCCGCGTTAGCCGTAGCCGATATGCTGCAAGAGAGAGACTCGTGTAAATTCTTTTGTCGTAAATTAATAATATATAGGATATGTAAAGATGTAAATATGGATTTTGTAAATATGTTTTGTATAATAAAAAGATTTTGTATAATAATAATACCTATAACTAGTTTCCTTAACTAATAAAATAATGATTATAATAATGGTAGAAATAACTTGTTAGGAGGTTATATTCTCTCGCACGTCAGCGAGTTTAATTTCATCGAAATGATGTTTCACGTGGCGCCTATTGATGAGTAGTGTTACCGTATGGTTTCCATGTACTTTAATTACTTTATAAGGCCCTTTCCACATGGGCGATAGTGCTTTGCGTAAGCGGAGATGATTTTTTAGGAAAACTTGGTCGCCGACTTTGTAAGTCGCAGGGCGAGTACGTGTGTCATAGTAATTTTTTGAATTGATTTTGGATTTGTGAATATACTCAATTGCTATATCTCGTGCGTGTTTCAAGCGGTGTTGGAGTAGTTTGACATAGTCTGGGTAAGTGGTATCGGAATTATCGTCATATACAGAGTCTGGTATACGAGGTTTGTGTCCGAATAGTAATTCGAATGGTGAGTAGTGTGTTGTAGAATGGACTGCTGTGTTACATCCTAGCATTGACGTGTATACGTATTTCGGCCAATTGTTTTGGTTTTCGTTCACGTAAGATTTTAAATACTCTTTGAGAGTGGAGTGTGACCTTTCTAAGGCACCTTGGGTCTGCGGATGGTATGGCGATGACCATAACTGCTTGATTTTTAAAAATTCACATGTCTTTTTAAAGAGCTCGGCTGTGAAGTTCGTCCCTTGATCGGTCAGGATATGTTTAGGGATGCCGAACAACGAGATGAAGTGTAGGAGACATTCACTCGTTTCTTCCGCAGTGTTACTGCGAAGAGGATATGCTAGAGAGAATTTAGTAAGGTCGTCCTGCATGGTTAGTATGTATTTAAGTTTAGCAGTGCCGGATTCGGGTAAGGGACCTACTATATCGAGAGCTAGTCGCTCGAACGGAGATGTGGATGTGGAAGTTATTACCATGGGAGCTCGATTTATTTGTCGTAGTGCTTTGTTGGTTTGACAAGATGGGCATTGCTTAATATAGTTCTCAATGTCACTACGCATGTTTTTCCAGGAGAATCTTTCTTTGATGCGGCTAAACATTCTTGCGGATCCTAAATGTCCAGCAATAGGGACATCATGGTTTTCTTTGAGTATTTTGGGTATTTTGCTAAGAGATGGGTATATTATGTTATTGTGGTATATGTGTATTTTGATATTAGTACCATCGAAGAGATAAGCTATCATATTATAAATTTTGATAAAGGAATGTCTATCAAATGGATTTCTAAAGTCTGATATGCTCATTTCGTAGATTGTAGAATAAGACATCATTATTTCGTCGAGGGCATACTTTAGACTTTTGAATATGTCAGGATAAGAATTATCATCGAAGTGATGTACTTTAGTGAACAGAAAGAGGTACGTTTTATTTTCAATAGTAGGAGGGGAAACAGTATGTAGGGATCTTTCTTTCTTTAGGAATTCGTCGCGTTGTGGGTTGGGACAATTGTAAATGATGTCTTGGATATAGGGTAAGGATTCGTCCATATCTATAGACGTAGGTATTATTATTAATTTTTGAGAACATTTTAGTAGGTCTTCGTTGTGTTCTAGGATAATTGTATCATGTGTCTTAGTAGGGGATTTTAGGAATTTATTGTAATTGTCGTCGGGTAATGGAGATGTATCGGGGACGACAGGACAATTAGCATTGTCGGAAATGGGAGACAACGGAGTTTTAGGATTTGGTTTTGATACGAGTGGGACAGGATCGACGTGATCGGGTGACTTTTCAGGAATCGGAGGTGCTGGGTTTATGGGTGCTGGAGTGGATTCTTGTATAGGATCTTGATGATTTGGAGATTCTGGGAAGGTTAGAGGTTTTGATTCTTTCATGGGATCTAGGAAACTAAAGTCGAAGTCTACATCATTCAATGGGCTAAAGTCAATTCTAATAAGTTCGTCAAGTCTTGCTTGAGGAATTTCGAGCGGTGATGAGTTAGGTGAGGATATAGTATTAGGGTTTTGATTGGATTCGGCGTTAGGACTTTGATTATTTTTAGCGATAGGATCTTCGTTAGATTCGACAATAAGATTTGGATTTAGATCATCTTTATTCGTAGGATATACGGGATTTACAGGATACCTTGAGAGTGCATCTGCTGCGGAGTTTAGTTTGCCTTTACGATATACGATTTCGTATTCGAACTCTTCTAATTTTAGCCTCCAGCGTTGGAGTTTACTGCCGGGGTCTTTGTGGTTAAACAGCCATTTTAATGGTCTGTGATCGGTTACGATTTGGAATTTATTTCCGTAGAGATAAGGACGGAAAGTTTTACATCCATAGAGTATGGCTAATAGTTCTTTCTCTGTTGTACTATAGTTGCATTTGCTTTTGTTTAATGTGCGAGACGCAAAAGCTACTGGTCGGTCTTTACCGATTTGTCCTTGAGAGAGGACAGCACCCACAGCATAATTCGAAGCATCACAAGTGAGGATGAACGGTTTAGTGAAGTCAGGGTAGATTAGTAGTCCGTGCTGGAGGCGTGGTCTCGCCGCTTGGCGGACCCGTCGGCCGGCCTCCGTACCGTCGAGGCGGTCCGTCCGGTCCTCGCGGACTGGGTGGGCCGCGACCGCGGATGCCTCACCTTCCGGCTGACGCAGATGTTGACCGGCCATGGGTGTTTTGGCCGGTACCTCTTTAAGATAGCCGGAAGGGANCAATCAGGCGCATAACGCATTTCGTGTGACATGCTAGTACGATTTTGATTGGCGCGCGCACGCATCACGCAATCAGGAGCCAATCAGGCGCATAACGCATTTCGTGTGACATGCTAGTACGATTTTGGTCCCCATAATTTTCATACCCCGGGCCTATATATGTAAATCGATTCTAAAGGAGTAAACTCCAAAAAAAAAAATTGTGGAGCGGATGTTAATTTTCTTTTTAAGATTTCGAAGGCAAGCTGATGTTGGTTTTCCCAAATGAACGCAGTGTCTTTTTTCAAGAGGTTAGTAAGAGGTTTAGCAGTTTGGGAAAATTCTGGGATAAATCGTCTGTAGTACGAAACTAGACCGAGAAAGGATTTTATGTCTTTTGGGGATTTAGGAACTGGATATTCTGTAACGGCTTTTATTTTGTCTGGGTTCGGCTTTACTCCTTGTTCGGTTATAACATGGCCTAGGTAACACACTTCACGTCTAAGGAATTCGCACTTATCTGGTTGCAATTTGGTTGAATTGACGGATTCTTTTGAAAATAGAAGTTAGATTGAGGATATGGGATTTGATGTCATAGGAATAGCAAACAATGTCATCTAAGTAAACAAAGCATCTTGTACCTTGGAGTCCCGATAGGGTGGAGTTCATGAGCCTCTGGAATGTGCTCGGCGCGTTCTTTAATCCAAATGGCATTCTTAAGAATTGGAAATGTCCTTCGGGCACATTGAAGGCTGTTTTGACTTTGTCGGCTTCGTTTAACTTGATTTGATGAAATCTTGAGGCTAAGTCCAAAGTGGAAAAGTATTTACTATTTCCAAGTTGATCGAGAATTTCTGTTATTTGTGGAATAGGATATGTGTCGCCTATGGTTATGTCATTGAGCCTGCGATAGTCGATAACTACTCGCCATTTTTGGGTGTTGGATGCATCAAGTTTCTTTGGGACGACCCAAATAGGCGATGACCAGGGGGAATCGGAAGGCTCTATTATGTTTTGTTCCAGCATTTTATTGATTTGATTTTTGACTTCTGTTTTATGCACTTCTGGAAATCTATAAGTTTTGGTGTGTATTGGTATATCGGATGTTGTTTTGATAATAAAGAAAGTGGAATGTTCGATACAGAGGATTCGACTAGGACATGAGGTAGAAGGGTCTTGGCTGGGTTACTCGTTATTTCAAATACATTGGGCTTAGGAGGGTTAGGATTAGTATTCTT